TCCTTGGTCTCTTCCTGCTTGACTGCTTTCGGTGTCTGTCCCAGCAACAAACACGCGATTTTGTCCTTCAGCATGTCGTCGGTAACTTTCACGTTGCGTTTCTTGGCCAGCTGGACCAACTCTGCTCGTGACTTCTGAAGCGAGTCCTCGGAGTTCCGGATCTGCAGCTCGAGCTCCTCTGCGGCTCTGGCCGTGCTCGATCCGTCGCTCGCTGAGGATCGCGCGCATCTCTCTGCAGCCCAGGCCTTGGAACTCCAGCCCGTTGCTCTCCATCTCCCTCTGCAACTCCACCTTGGCCATAGTCCCCAGTGGTAGTAGTCGTCTCGGTGCTGGTGCCTCGGCCTGCCTCTCGAGGATCTCCTCCTGGCCGTGGCAGCGCCCGCTGTGGAAGATACGGCCACCGCCGGACGCCTGGTCATCGTGATGGCTAAGAACACCAGCTTGAAAATCTGCTTCCAGCGCATCAGCGCAACGGTGCTGTACTTCTTTTTGGCGCTGACATCCAGGGTGCCCCAGCCCTGGATCCATCCCAGCACGCTGAGGGGCATCCGCATATGAATGGAAACACTGATCTCGAGAATCACCTGAAACGGTTTGAACCATATTGGGCTGAGGCCGAACTGTTTCATCATCGTCCGTTCTGTGGAATCGCACGCATCTTGCTGGCGCTGGTGCTTGCCGCTGTTGCATAGGTTTCTGTACTTCAGCACGCTTATCCGTTTCCCGAAACTGGTCCGTGCAGGGTTCTCGTTGGGGTGCTCCTAAGGCTTTCTGGAAGTTTAGCTCGCAGCGATTCGGATCGCTCTCGCAGCCGTTGAGGTGTAGCTCGTACTGATTCGGATCCCTCATGATGTTGAAGCTTGGCTCCTCGTGATCCGGGTCGCTCTTGACGTGGTTGACGTGGGGCCCCTTGGGATCCCGTTGGAGGCCCACTAGGAATATCGCGTACCTGTTCTTGGGAGGCCTCCATGGCGTGATGATCCTGCGAGCGATGATGAAAGGGGCTCCTCTCGAGTTCCTTCCACCAGCGCTGCGATGGCGGAAGCAGCCTGATCTCTGTCTGGTTGGGGCTCACGTCTGGAGCCATGGTAAAAATCTGAGCCCCGTCGAACTCCAGCACATCGAAACTCAGGCGTCCGCTCTTGGTCTGCCCGAGCTCGAGGTTGGAGACTCCCGGCTTCCTGAACGTCTTGGTGCTCTCGCCCGCCCCCACCTCATGGTCGCCTACTGCTCCCAGCTGACTAAGAGCCTTCTGCGACAGCAGCGCGGGGACCAGGCACGGCACGATGGATATCCTCAGCGTGAAGGGGCGTCCGCGCACTGCGAGCGGCACCAGCGCTCCAATCGCGCTCATGACTGGCTTCCCAGCGCCGAACCTGACAACTTCATGTTCGTGAAATTCGATCGGCTCGAGGCCCGCCTTCGCGAGCCCCTTCTTGATGTCGTCATAACAAACCTGTCCCCCAACGGACTTGGCGCAGCACGAGTCTGGTAGCAGCTTGCCGCCGCGCTGCTGCAGCCATGGTAACGTCCGCGCTGCCCGTGCCGGTCATCAACACGTTGTTGTTGATGAAGAACGTCTGCTTCTCGATCTGCTTGTCCTTGCTGCTCCAGTTCGTGCGATACTGCTATGATCCCTGGCTGTCTTCGCCATGGTCGTCGGCAATCGTCATGTGCGCCTTACTTGGCGCTCCTGTACACTCGGGGTCGCCCTTCCAGTGTCCCACTTTCTGGCACACTGCGCAGTGAGTCCTCGCCTTTAGCTTCCTGATGCGGTCCGAGCCCTTGCCGCCGGGCCCCTTGCCGCCTCCAGGGCTGCCTTTCCCGCCAGGTCCATTACCAGGTCCGCGCCCAGGTAGCCGATCTCTATGATAAAATCCTCTAGCTTGCTTGGCGTCTTTTGCCTGTCTTTCGCTCGGGCGAGAATCTTCTCCAACTTGTGAACTTCGGCCTCCGCTTCCTCGCGTTCCTCTAGTAACTCCTCCGGCAGGTCATCGTCGTCCACCTGGGTCTCGTACACCTCGAGATCCTCCTCTTCGTCGTTCTCGGTGATGTGAGCTCCCCATCGTCGGGGTCGTGCTGGTGGACCTCTGGGCGCTAGTGGTGTCATGGGTACTGGCCTCCGGGGGTTGTGTTTGTCCACTGCTTTGGCGTCCTTCACGTTAAGCAACGTCTGCTTCTGTAAAGGCTTGAGCTCGTATTTATTCTGATTGGCGTTCAGCGCTCCAGCTTCTCGATCTGGCGGCAGGCCAAGCCACCACATGAACAACCACGCCAGCGCTTGATCTGGGAACTCGATCTGCATTGTCTTAAGTCTCGAGACCTGCGTGTCGAAGCGGTTGATGAAAGCCCTGATCTCCTCGCCGCTGTCGCGGCGCATGCGTGTGAAGAATGTCTTGAGCTCGGACCCGAGCTCCATCACCTTCTCGTCGTCGAACTTATCTGCTAGGAAGTCGAGCAGCACTTGGACCCCTTCGTCATTCTGAAATTCCGTCGGGTCGAGGTCCTCTGCATGAATCCAGGCGTCGCCCTTTAGTTCTGCGTAGAGCACCGCGGCCTGCCTCTCAAGGGGCAGTCTGGTCCTTATCTTGAATATCGCCACTCGCCTCCTGTAATCCTTCATCGTCGTCGTCTGTGGGTCGAAGGCGGGAGCTGGAACGCGTGGTCCTCCCTGCTGTTGGGTACGTCCTTCCTCACCTTCTGCTGCTTCCTCGGACGGGTCCACCTTGGGCGCCATCCTTGCCGGTCCTGCTGTATTTCTCCCTGTAGATCTCCGGCGTCATTCTTGTTAATGTGTGGCGGTCTGTCCGCCGAACTCGATGCCGCGAGATGCTTCTCTCGATGCTGCGAGCTGCTTCTCTTCGATGCTGCGAAGGCGTGTCCGTGAGCCGAACAGCTCCTGCTACCAATGTGAAGATGCAACTTCTGAGATAGGCGTTGGTATTTTCCGTATGTTGCCTGAGACTCAAGGGCCCTGGGAGCCGCAATGTTTACGGATAAGAAACAAGTGAGACGAGGGGCAAACACTGGGGTATCCAGCACTCTCGCTTTCACACCCTCCCTCCTCCCTCTTCCTTCCTCCTTCTGCTCCTCCTCCTCCCTCCACCTCCCTGTGCTGGCGCAGGGGCAAGCGCGCGAGGAGGCCGAGCCCGATCTAATCAAAATGGCCGACTTTCCTTTTCTCTTGCACCGCCTTCCGCCCGCGGACCCGCCGCCGCCGTTTTACTTCCGCGACCTTCCGCCGGTCTCCCGCCAGCTTCCGCAGAGGGCGAGGATGCGCCGAAGGCGAGGCCCTTCCTGGAACGCCGCAAGTAGGCCGGTGATCTGCGAGAGAGGCCGGACGTGCACGTCAGGGGTGTGTTGGCAGTAGGGTGAAGCAGAGACAACTGGGCGAAACAGCAGGCGTGCTAAGCATCTCATGGAAGGTGTGTTTGCCGTGAGGTGAGGCGGAGAAGATTGGGTAGAACAACGAACGTGCTCAGCATTACGGGAGAAGGGGGGGGGAAGGCGTAGCACAGAGGCGTCAACGGCATGACGTATTGGTATATTCCTGTGCGCCTTGCCATGCGTGGGCGTCCTGGCGCCACAGCCTGTGCTGGATCTCATGGCGACTGGCTGTTCTGAGGGACACCTCGAACGCAGATTCAACAACTTCCACAAGCTCCTCGGTCTGTCGCGTCATCGGTGGCCGAGACAGGAGGGAGGGAACATTGGTGATTGGAGGATCAGGCGAAAGGTCAGATCGACGAGGGACAAAGATAAGGGAGGAGATGGAGAAATGACGATATGACAATGGGGGGGGAGGGGCGATGACAAGGAGACGGGAGGAGGGAGGAGGATGAGGTGGAGGAGGTGGAGGAGGTTGGAGCGTCTGGGGGGGCATCGTCTCCCAATGAACTATGGCCGCTGCCGCCGCCGCCTACGGCCACTGTGACCGAGGAGGAGCTCTACGACTTGCACGGCGGACCGAACCAGACTTTGGGCGGATTATAGAAGAGTCGGGTGGGCCTTCCTCCCTTGGTAGGCCAACCGATACATATGGAAATGCATCGCTGTAGATTTAAAGGCCTCGGGGTTGGGGTGGATCAAACCGAGAGCCAGGAAGGGCTCCACAGAAGGAGGCGCGGGAAGATCGATCTTTAATTGACCTCTAGGCAGCATCAACATGGGCGAGCAGTGGCAGCACTAGTGCTTAAGCGAATCGCGGGCCCCTGGACATCCTCATTCGCATCCCCTATACGGATTGCGCATCCTGGACTCTGTGATCCATCCTCCCCCCCACGTTTTGATGCAAGAACTGCGCCATGACGGGGCAGGAGGAGGATGAGGAGGAGCAGGAGGAGGAGCAGCAGCCAGGGCAGGGGCAGGAGGATGAGGAGGAGGAGGAGGAGGAGGAGGAGGAAGATGAGAAGGAAGAGAAGGGATGAAGGACGAAGTGGTGGAGGGGAGAGGAGGGAGAATGGATGAGGGATGAGGCAAGAGGGAGAGCGAGCAGTCGAGGATTAGGGAGGAGAAGAAGGAGGAGGGTGGGAGAGGTGAGAAGGGAGAAGAAGGATGAATGGAGGAGGCGGAGGGCGGGAGGAGCAGGTAAAAGGATCGTGAGAGGGATGACGACGAGGAGGAGGTGGAGAATGATAGGTTGGATGAGGGGAGGGAGTAGGGTGGACTGAACAATGGAATGAAAAGGTTGAAGGGTAGAGCGGAAAAAAAAGATGAAGAGGAGGAGGAGGAGGAGGAGCAAGGAAGGGGCGGGATGTACAGCGAACAGCTCCGCCCATCTTCTCGCCCCAGAGATCGACATATTCCGAGCAATATGTTGCTACTGCTCCTCCTCCTTCTCATCCTGCTCCTCACGCCTTGTCGACCTCCAGCTCCCTCCCTTTCCCCTTTCCCACTCTCGTGTTCCTCCTCCTCCGCCTCCTCCTCCTTCTTCTTTTTTATCTTCGTCCTCCTCCTCCTCCTGGCCCTATTCATTGCTCCTCCTCAGGATACCGGCGGGCCTCCTTCGTCGCCAGCAGCACTGACGTAGCGGCACCATCCTTGCCAGGGCGGGGAGAGTGACAGCAGGCCAAGGGTGGCACCGGCGACGCAGCTCACGGCGGCGAAGCAGCCTGCAGCAGCAGCCGGCACAGCCCAGGTCCCAGCCACAGGACCTCCAGTGCGAACCGCTGCCGCGGCGTGCCTCTGGCGTCGTGACTCTTTCAGTGCGTGGGCGAGGGGCAACGTTGAGGGGATCCAACTCAGGGAGGGGGACATCGAGCTTGCATCGGCGATACATCGCCGATAGATCGGCGGTAGGCAGCCAATAGCGAAACAGCACGTTCCTGCGCGGGGTGGGCTATCAGGCCCCCGTCAGCGATGCATAGGCGATTGGAGGTCGATGTGCCCCCCCTCTGAGCCTATTCCCCCCTGTCGTTGCCCCTGGCCCTCCCTTCCTCACCGCCTACCCAAGACTCATCGACGATATTGCATCAAACTCTCAAGCCAAGTCCCCTCTTCACAGGCCCCTACAAGGTTTCATTCTCACAGAGGGAAGCGCCCCGTTGGAAAACAACCGTTTGAATATCCAGAACTGTGTTCAGAACACGAATCCTTGGACTTCAGCGCTGCGAATCACCGTTGAAGGTGCGCTTTGACGATCCTGAATCGTGCCAGAACACCGTTCCTGGAATTTCAACAGCGCGAATCAACGTGACCGTTGCACCCTGGCATTCCGACATCGTGCCAAAACACCATAACAGGGACGTTTGCCATGAGACTCCCTCACACTGCTTCAAACTCTTAAGACGAATGTGCGTGGCGCCTAAACGAGAACCGCATGTTGAAAGCGGACCGCCCTCATCCGTGAAGCTCTTGCGAATCTTTAAAACGAATGTGCGCGACACTAAAGCGAGAACCACACTTTGAAAACGGATCCGCCTTTCATCCGTGAAACTCTTCCAACTATTTAAAATGAATGTGCGCGGCGCTAAAACGAAAACCACATGTTGCAAACGACCCGCCCTCCACCCGTGAAACTGTTACGAATTTCAAGCTTCAGGATCATGAACGATGGAGACATCTCAAACGAAACGCCTGGCCCGTCCTTTCGACCAGCCTTGGGGCGCGACAGGGAAGAGGAGGTGGGGTTCCCGAGCTCTCACCCGCACTTGTCCCACGGGTTGCGCCCGGTGGGTTGTTCTTTGTGGGCCCTGGGGCCCTGGTGCTTCTAGGGCGCTGGAGGTCTGGGCTCGCTGGCCCAGAAGGGGCCACTCGGTGCGATTGTCGGCTTCCCCAGAAGGCGCTCGACAAGCCGCAACTAATCCGCCTGGTCTTTCTTCTCCTACTCCTCCTTTCCACCTCCCCTCGCCCCGTCTCTCCTCCGCCTCCTCCTCCTGCTGCTTCCCCTCCTACCACTGGTCCTGCTTCCTCTGCTCATCCTGGTATTTCTCCGCCTCTTCCTGGCCCCCACACTCCTCTCCCCCTCCTCGTCTTCTAGATCGCCATCCTCCCCCTCGTTCTTGTCCTCGTGGTCCTCCTTGTCTTCATCGTCGTCCTCCTCCTAAACCCTTCTTCTCCTCCTGGCCCTTTACATCCATTCCTCGTACTCCTCTTTACCTTACTGCTCACGCTTGTCCTCCCTTGCTCGTCCTCGTTCGCGCACTTCGTGTCGTCCCTGTCCGCCTCATCCTCGTCGGCGTTCCCCCTCCTCCACCTCGTCCTCGTCTCTCCGCGCTCACCGTCCCCCCCCTCCTCCTCCCATTCTCCTCTCCACCCTCTTCCCCGGATCCTCCCGCCCTTCCCGCCCTCCCCTCGACCTCTCCCCATCCACCTCCCCAGTCCCCGCCCCCCTCCCTCCCCCGCGCGAGCGCAGCCAACGCGGCGACGAGCGCGCGCACGGGGTCCTATAAGAGCAGGGCGCAGGAAGGGGCGGAAGCGGAGGAGGAGGGGGCAAAGGAGAGGGCGAAGGAGAAGGATGAGTGCGAAGGAGAGGGCGGAAGAGGAGGAGGATGAGGAAGAGGAGGAGGAGGAGGAGGAGGAGGAGGAGGAGGAGGAGGAGGAGGAGGAGGCTGGCGACGAGGTCTGCCGGGTACAACGTTACTCGCAAGATGCGCCGCCGGCATGAGCATCACACTTGCTCGAATGTTGTCCACAGCGCCACCGACAAGTGTGCTACATGTACATCGCTACATGCAAGGTGCAACGTCGTTCGCAACAGTGCGCTGTACTCCCATGCGTGAGTGGCACGGCCACTCATCCCTGCCCCATCCCATCTCGTACCCCTTGAGACTCAGGCTGCAGTGAAAGACGGACGGGTTCCCTCTTAAAGCGACGAGACTGGGCGTGGTGGCGTCCCGCGGCCACGCACGGCGGGCGCCCATGGGGCAACGGCGAGCGTGCGGCTGCGGATCGGGATCGCCGCGCGGCACTGCGAGAGGGAGAGGAGGAAGAGAGGGAGCAGAAGGACGAGTTCGTTGCCAGGAACAGCAGACGAGCAAGCAGCCTGACGGGGCTTGAACGGCTGGATCAAAACATGCACGGGGGCCTGGGGCCGCTCCACCGCCACCGCGGGAGGCTTACCCCATCCCAGGCCCCCGACCGCCTTCCTTCGAGGGTCAGGAGCCCACGCCTTCTCCTTCGCCGCGATCCTGGCGCGCGCCTCGGCCAGCATCCGCTCCCTGTTCGCCACGAGGGCGTCGGAAGCAACCTCCTCGCCAGGCGCCTCGGCCACAGGCATCGCCGCCGCGCCAGGCGTCGCCGCAGGCTCGAGGGGCCACCTCCTCGAGCCACCCACAGGAAGACGACCAGCGGGAGGAGCAGCAGCGAGTACCGTTCCCTCAGCACCACGAGCAGGCGCGGCGGCAGCAGGCGCAGGCGCACGCGCCACCGCCACCTCCGCCCCCGGCGGGGGAGGAGGAGGAGGAGGAGGAGGAGGAGGAGGAGGAGGAGGAGGAGGAGGAGGAGGAGGAGGAGGAGGAGGAGGAGGAGGAGGGGAGGAGGAGGAGGAGGAGGAGGAGGAGGAGGAGGAGGAGTCGGTCGGGCGCATCGGGCCTCGAATCGAAGGATCAACTGCAACACATCTCGGAAGAAAAACCGATGTGTACGACCTGCAGTGCGCGCCAAACAGATCGGAAACAGGTGCGCCCTCCCCTGGGAGCCTCGAATTGTCTTCGCTCTACCATTTGCGGTGAGACTCCAGGAGTTTAAATCTCTCGGTGAGGCTGAGTTTCGAGAACGAAACGATATCTACTGTTGCTGCTGCTGTACTCTTGCTACGTTGCGTGCGAGTGCAAACCTTGATTTGATGTACATCTGCTCTGCGAAGGAGGGGGGCCGAGGTCACATCAGGAGGAGGGGGGAACGATGGCAGGCAGGGATCATTCACTGGGCGCTCCTCGCCCCGACCATCTCTGACTGTCGACGACCGACCACGCTCGGCCGTGACGCTCGCCGCGCTGTCTGACACCGTCGCAGCATCCCTGGAGCGTCCTGAGGCGGAGGCCGTCGCACCAGCTGGTCTCGTAGCACTCGCTGGGGCCTTCGCATCAGTTGGTCCACCGCCATATGGAGGGGCCGTTCCTGATGTCCTCTGGGCACAGGCCCTACCTTGAGCTCCGCCCCGAGCTGCTCGGCGCACATCAGGACGCTCTGCTCCGCGGCGGCATCGCTGAGGCTGACCGCGAGCTTCGCCTGGTTCTCCTTCCAGCACTGCGACACGCGGCGTCCTCGCACGACCATCGTCTTCGTGTCGATCGGTATCGGCTCGAGCCCGGCGTAGTGAGTGGCCCACTCCTCTTTGTTGCGGCCGCCCACGCAATCGCCAGCCTCCTTCACCGCCACAGGAGCACCTGGACACGCGCGGACCCCCCGATGAACTCGGTCGGCTTGTTCTTCGTCGAGTCCTCGAGGTCCTCGGTGCAGAGGGCCCACTGCTTCTGCGCTTCCAGCGCATGCGCCCTGCCCTCGGTGAAGCCCGCCACTGCCAGCGCATTGTCCTCGTTCACCGCCACTGTGTGGTAGGTGGTGGCCATCAGCTGCTTGCCGAGCACAGCCTTCGCGAGCACTGCGATGAGCGTGAGCGCCAACTGCATCTCCCTCGTCGGCAGGCGGCCCAGCGCGTCCTGCAGAAGGCCGTAGTGCTGGACGAGCTCGGACTGCATCTTTCGTCGACCACCCCGACCGCGAGGCCCTGGCACTGCGACCTCGGCCTCCTTGGCCGCCGACGGCTGCTTGCGGCGCGGCTGTCGGCCCTGCGGCCTCCTCCGCGCCCGCGGCGGCGCTGCGCTCCACGGCTGACGCTCTCGGAGCCACCGCGGCCACCGCGCCCAGCAGCGACTCGGCGACTGCGGGGGCGTGAGCGACACTTGACGGCGTCCTGCAGCGCCTGCGGGCTCGGGCGGAAGGCCGCGCGCACTGCCTGCGCCCGCTGGGCGCCGTCGCGGCACGGGCTGAGGCGCGTGCCGCTCGAGCAAGTGCACCTGCAGGGCCGCGAGGTCCTCGAAGGGCCCCCCCATGGAACGTGCGAACTCGAGGGGCGTGGAGCCTGGCATGAGAGCTAGACCGTGATGGAGGCTAGGGGGCACATCAGGGACTGGGGCTCCTCAACCTGGTGGAAGTAGGGCGACCGCTGAAACGGGCATCGGCGATTCAAACAGGCTGTGACTGCACGCTCCTGGGCAATCCGGCGCGCCCTGAAGGCGCTGGAGCAGAACAAACACTGGTTGGTAACAACGATGGAGTGAAGGACGGACCGACATCCACGGCGTGCATTTTTCAGAGACTTCTGGCGAGCGGTCAGCGCTCGCCGAGTGGCGAACTCGCGCCCACATATGACGCCCTCGGCGTTCAGCAGCTCGCAGCGCCAGACCGCCGTCGGCGGCTGGGGCCCCACCACATCGGCAGCGGGCGGGCTCTAACCAGGCGGCGGGATCGCCACCGTGCGCGCCTGAGCGCGCAGCAGGCAAGGGTCCAGCGCCAGGTGGCCGTCGCGCAGGTCCTCGCAGGAGAACAGCGCGAAGACGTTCAGCGAGCCACCATGCGTCCGCAGATCCCCGCGAAGCTCCGCCGCCTCGGCGGCCTCCAGCAGCGCCCCCACGCCCGCGACGAACCGCAGCGCGCGCGGGTTGGCCTCGACCGAGACGGATCCATCCGAACCAAGCGTAGGTGTCCGTTCGAGCGGCAACTCCCCGAAGACAACCGCCAGCTCCTGTGGGCGCTGCTCAGGTCGTCGTAGCCACCGCTGGCATTGGCGAATCCTCAGCACTGCCTCGTCCGTCATGGCTTTGTACTTCAGTAGGGGCTTCCCAGCTGCGTCGAACTGCGGGTTGCCGTCGCTGTCGACGATGGGGAGCTTCTGACACGCAGCGCCCGACAGCAAGCGTCGACCCAAGCTGGAACGAACTCTGTCGAGCTGCAGGTGCTGCGCCGCGCTGAGCGCGAGGACGTTCATCCCGCTGAGCGCCGCCTCCTGAACGACCGAGCCGAACGCGATCTGCGTCAGGCGCCAGACGCGGTTCCTCGACCAGAAGCGCCCCATGCTATAGTATCCCCACACGGGCAGCTTGCAATCGTCGCCGAAGCTCCGTCTTCGCACTGCCCGCGATGGAAGTCTGGATGCCGAGGGCCATATTGTCGCACTGCACGGCGCCCGCGATGGCCTCCGAGCCGCCGAAGAGCTGGCGCGCCTCATGCTGAGCGCCAGGGCCCACGAAGCAGGGCGAGACGGAGCTCTTGGTCGGGTTGTGCGTGTAGCCGTAGGGATCCAGCGAGCGGCGCAGCTCGAAGTGAGAGCGTCTTGAAACGAAGCCCGCGTTCCTCGCGGAGACGACCGCGCTCGCGTGGTTCGTGTCACCGGCGTAGATCCTCGTGCCAAGCGGGGCCGCAGCGTCGAGCATCGGGCACCACGCAGCGCAGAGGGCCTCACTAGGCCAGATCGTCGTGTCGACATCAGCCCGAGGAGCAGGAGGAAGAAGAGGATGCCGCTTCCACTCCTCATACGTGGTCGGATGTGCGGGCATCTCGTAGGTGGCCCAGCTGGCAGCCCGCAGGCGTCGCAACCAGTCAGCGATAGGCTCGCGGAAGGTCCTGGCGAAGAAGAGCGCTGCGGGCGTGTCGCCCATGAAAGCGCCGCAGCGGTTGTGGAGATCATGATCGCCATCCGCTCCGAGGGTGGTGGAAGTAGGCCTGCTCGTAGGGGCGAACCGCCACCTCGACAGTCTGACGGAGCGCTGCGCGGCTGGTGGAGCCGAAGGCGTTGCTCATGTCCTCCTTCGTAGTGAGCGTCGACATGCCAAGTCTGCGAAGGCGACCGAGAAGTCCCTCCTGGCAGAGGAGCGCACCGTCCCGATTGCGGCCACGCGGGTAGCCGTGCTCACGTGGTGGAGGCGCATCGGGCGGGGGCCGCTGAAGCTGGGCCTTGTGCCAGGCAGTGCCAAACCTGCAGAGACCGTGGATGAAACGCTGAGAGCTGAACTCGGTCTTCCCGTCGTGCTTGTCTAAGCCGGTGGTGGCCGAGTGGCGCCAGGTCAGCGGCGCCCGCTTGGCCCGCCTCACGTGCGCGAGGATGATCTTCAGAGCGCGCTCGGTGATGGGCGCGTCGATCTCCTCACCATCGGTGCCAAGACCGCGACGATCACCTGCAAGCCGATGTCGGGATCGTAGCTCTGAGCGCGGCCTGCGAGTAGGTTCATCATCCTCCTCGGCGCCCTCGGGTCGCCGTGGTCGTTTGCGTCGAGCCTTGCCATCATATCGCCTCCAGGGTTCGAGAGCCAGCCATAGAACTTCCATCGGCACACTGTGAGGGGGGGCAGCCCTGCGACGTGCCGACTTCGAGATCACGTCCAGCAGCTTCTCGAAGTCCTCGCGCGCCAAGTCCAGGTGGTCGCGCGCAAACATCGGAGCCCGTGGGAGCTCATCCAAGCACTGCTGGCGGCACGTCTCGGAGTCGATCGGGACCGCCTCCAAGCCTCCAGCGGCGCCAGCCTGCGCGAAGTAGCCCACGATCTCGGCACGCCGCGGCAAGAAGCTGCCCCCGACGTTGTAGCGCCGCCTGCGGGGGCCACGACACTGAGCAGCAAGCTGGTGGCTGCGGCGCCACACCTCAGTGAACCGCCGCTGCTGCCAAGCCTCGTGCATGTCGTCGGCGAGCAGCTGCACCTCGCTGTCAAGGCGAGCACGACGATGCGCCCGCAGACGACGGGACGCACGCGCGAGACCGAATGCCAGCTCCTCGGAGTCGCCACCAGCTTCACGAACAACCCGGCGGTCTGCAAGCAGTTGGAGTCATTCCTCGCGCAGTCGCTGCACCCGAGGGGCCATGGGAGCGCGGCCTGCGAAGTGCTTCGCAGCGACTTCTGAAACCTGACCGATCCAGCGATCCCAAGCCTCGTCGGGGGCCTTCGCGTCGTAGAGCGCGTGGAAGTACTCGGCGTGTCGCGAGAACTCGTCCTCCAGGTCGCGAGCGAACGCCGCGACGCCCGCGCCGTGCTGCAGCGCCTGCCCTAGCCGATGGAAGTCCCAGACCGTCTTCTTGCGAGGTGGTGGCGCCTGCAGCGTGTAGATGACCTTCGTCAGAATCGGCACGTGATCCTGCAGACCAGGTCGAGGGAAGAGCTTCTGTCTCAAGTTCGCGCTCTTGAGCGGAATCACTCGCTCAACGGACGGCGTCTGCCAGGCGAAGGCCGCGACGCGGTCGATGAATGAGGCGCTCCGCGCACCGTGGTAGGTGGGCCCCACGTCGAAGTCGCTGGTCACACTCCGCAAGGCGAGCCTCTCCATCAGCTCCAGCATTTTGTCGCCAGCATAGTGTTGTAGTTGGCGACCGTGCGGGCCCAACGCCGACGAGGTCACCTGCTCGTAGATCTGCTTCCCGCACTGGCGTATGCCGAGCCCATCGTTGAGGTCGAAACCGAAGAACAGTGCAGACCGCCCTCGCGCCCACGTCAGCGTCTTCTCGATCCAGTCGCAGAGCGCATCGACCGTGCGCCTGTATGCTAGGTGCTGGGTGCCAGCGGGCGCAGACTCTCGAGCCGAGCGACGAGCCGACGGCCTCGGCGGGAAATACACCGCCGGTACCAAGATGTCGAAACGTCCGCTCCGCAGGCGTGTGAGGGCGACCCGACCTCTCAGCAGCTCTGGCACAGGAGGGGTGTCCGCCAAGTGCGGAGATCGAAACACGCGTCTGCGAAGGAGAATAGTACAGCCACAACTCTTGTTCACGTGGGGGCTGGGGGACTCCAGCCTGACCGAAGAGCCGTGTGGTAGGGCAGCGTCGTCCGAATGGTGTCAACATGTCCTCTGCGCTCGCCCGTACAGCTCAGACGAATCACATCAACATAGCGAAATTCAGCAGAGATATCCGCGAGCCTCTCTTCCGAGCTGGCGTTCTGAGCGTTCCACTGGATGAACTTCATCTCTGAAATTGCAACCAGCCGTGGCCAGAAACTCCAGAGCATCAGTAGCCGCGACAGCGCCAGGAGCGAGGGCCGCCGCCGCAACATTGCACAAGGAGGGCGCGCCATTCCTGACGCGGGGTATGAATGCGCATCCTCGGCGCGGCCGCCCCTGAAACACCGACCTCGGGCAGAGGGGGCTGGAGGAGGAGGAGGATGAGGAGGAGGAGGAGGAGGAGAAGGAGGAGGAGGAAGCGGGGGCGGAAGACGAGGAAGGGACACAAAGATTCGGATTCGCGGTGAATTCCGTGCTGGTGATTCTGCACGAGCGGGCAGAAAGGCCGCCGCGCCCCGCCGCCACTCACGCGGCCAGCAGATGCGCCAGGACCACCGCCAGCGGCAGCGGGAAGAGCGCCACCGCCCGATCAGCGCTCTCCTCCCACCGCCGCCGCCGCCGCTTTCGCCGCTTTCGCCGCTTTCGCCGCTTTCGCCGCCGCCGCCGCCGCCGCCGTCGTCGTCGTCGTCGTCGTCGTCTCGTCGTCGTTTCGTCGTCGTCGTCGTCGTCGTCGTCGTCGTTTCGTCGTCGTCGTCGTCGTCGTCGTCGTCGTCGTCGTCGTCGTCGTCGTTTCGTCGTCGTCGTCGTCAGGGGCGGCGGCCGCCGTGGCGTCGGCGGCGGCGGCGTCAGCGTCGGCGTCGCCGTCGGCTGCCGACTGTCGGTGTCGTTGGCGTCGTCGTGCTTCTCCCGCGGTCGTCGGCGTCGTTCATTGTCGTCGCTGCGATGGCGTTCGAGGCTCGATGTGCAATGGTCAAACTTGTCGATGATCGATGTCGCCGGGCTTTTTTGGCCCCCTGGGCGGCTTCTCGTGGCCACGGCTGGATCCACCTCGAAATTCTGGTCAGAACGTGTCCTGGGACAGGTCTAGGGGTCGGCGTCGGCGCCGAAGTCGTCATCGACGTCGTCGTCTCTCTCCCTGCCCCCCGTCTGCTGGAGGAGGAAAATGTTTAGGGATGAAGATTGTGTGATGGTGATGCCGGTGAATAGGAGGAGGAAGAGGAAGAGGAGGAGGAGGAGGAGGAGGAGGAGGAGGTTTGGAAGGAGGATTGAGATGAAGAGGAAGTCTTCTGGCGGGCTCAGGCGGTGCTATGGGGGGGCTCTTTGAGGTTATGGGGGATTTTCGGGGGTCCTGCTCCCTCCTGCTTCTGCTCTTCCTCCTCGCCAGCCCAGCACCCTCCTAGGAGGACCCAGATGAAGAGGGAGAGGGGCGAGGTGGAGGGAGAAACGATGAGAGAACACATGCAGAGACGATGGGATAATGGGACGGGAAGACGTGGACGAGGAGGAAACCGTGGAGGTGGCACAAGTGGAGGGTTCGCCTTGACACCTCATCAACGCAAGTGAGGACAATACCGAGCGCGGACCCCCATCCCGACTACCCCTCGAAGCTGAATGCCTGCAGCCGAATGCCACCCCCGTGGCTCCCTGCCTGGGCAATGAGACATCGGACGTGTTTTTTTGTGACATGGGCCCCTGGACCTCCCGATCCCATGCTTGAGAACTTTTTCTCCTCCTGTGCTGGTCTTCGATGGTCGCCTGGGTCAGGACCCCCCCCCGCCCATGGCCGGAACCGTAATAGCGCCGTGACTGAAAAAGAGCACGGCGTTGAGGTCTGGGTGTGGGCCTCTGCCTGGCCTCGCGAGGCTGGGGGGAACGTTAGTGGGGACTGGCTCAGGGAGAGAAACATCGAATCCGCACATTCCTGGGCGGGGTGGGCTATCGGGCCCCTATCGACGATGAATGGGCGATTGGGGGTCGATGAGTTCCCCGCAGAACCCATCCCTCCCTAGCTTTGCCCTTGACCTTCCGCGCTCTGGTTTTCGGGCCATAACTCGTCAGGCCCCTGGCGGTTGTTCGGGACGATTCCGACACCCCGAAAGCTCTCGGCGAGGCGCAGAAGATGGAGAGCACCCCGAAGCTGGAAAACCATGGAGAATCCGCCGACCCCTTGTGGGTCTCTAGGCGTGTGCGATTATTTGAGGGGGGCCAAAGACACACACACACAAATGAATAACCACAAATCCTGAGAGTTATTTATGATATTTCCGGGTTTTCTTCTACCCCCCCTTGTCCCACATTTTCCTATCGTTCACTGGGGATTCGATGATTAATTGTGTCTTTGTGTTTTTCCCCTTCTGGATCTTATTACCCCCCGTGGTCCCCCCCCCCCGGGACCCCAAACCGGAAACTTGACCCCCCCTGGCGTCTGGCCCTCCCCGCGCTCCCTTTGGAGCTCCAAAACAGCCCCTGAGGCCTCAGAAGAGGCCCCCAATACGATCCAAGACGGCCCCATCGCCGAAAGATTGTTCCAAAACGCCCACGATGGCCTCCAAACGGCCCAAGATGTCTCCAAAGCGCCCCCAAACGCCTCCAAGATGCCTCCCAAGAGGGTCCCAAGAAATAACAATCGTCCCGTTCCCTCGGGGAAACACACACACACACATATATATATATATATATATATATATATATATGTGTGTGTGTGTGTGCGCGCGCGCGCGTGTGTGTGTGTGTGTGTGTGTATGTGTGTGTGTATGTGTGTATGCGTGTATGTGTGTATGTGTGTATGTGTGTGTATGTGTGTGTATGTGTGTATGTGTGTATGTGTGTGTATGTGTGTATATGTGTGTGTATGTGTGTGTATGTGTGTGTATGTGTGTGTATGTGTGTGTATGTGTGTGTATGTGTGTATGTGTGTATGTGTGTGTGTATGTGTATGTGTGTGTATGTGTGTGTATGTGTGTGTATGTGTGTGTATGTGTATGTGTATGTGTATGTGTATGTGTATGTGTATGTGTATGTGTATGTGTATGTGTATGTGTATGTGTGTGTATGTGTGTGTATGGTGGGTGTGGGTGTGGGTGTGGGTGTGGGTGTGGGTGTGGGTGTGGGTGTGGGTGTGGGTGTGGGTGTGGGTGTGTGTGTGTGTGTGTGCGTGTGCGTGTGCGTGTGCGTGTGCGTGTGCGTGCGTGTGTGTGTGTGTGTGTGTGTGTGCGTGTGCGTGCGTGTGTGTGTGTGTGTGTGTGTGCTGCAGATTCGCTTGTTGCTCTTTCACTACACCCAAGACGACACAAAAAACAAAAGGGTTCCAACACGGCCGAAGAGAGCCCCCAAATGGCCAAACAAACACCCAACGTGGCCCAGTAAAGCCCCAGGGCGGCCCCAAGAGGGGGCCCAGAAGGGAAACCCAAACTCAAATTTCGAGCCTTCGGCACCAAACCACCTCCATGTTGCCCCGAAAAACACCCGAGAGGCCCAAAGAGCCCCCCAAGAGGGTCTCCAAAATAACCCCAAAGCCCCCCAGGAGGCCCCAAGAGGCCCCACAACTGCATCCAATACGGCCCCGAAAACCCTTACACGAGACCCCATTAGCCATCCGAGCTGCCTCATACCCACAAGCCAGGCGCGGTGGCGGGATGGGCCGAAGGCCACTCGATCCGCCGCCCCCTGCTTGCAGGGGTGCACGGCGTGCTGGATGTTTCAGGTTTTGGTTTTGGTTCTTTTTCTAAAAGAACTCCCCAGTGGGCTTCGGCCCGTCCCGCCGGCCACGCGTAAATTGCCGAAAATCCGTCTGTCAATGCCCAAAAATCGGGCAAAAAAAAAAACGGCCTTCCTGATCGCGAAGATGGCCCAAGATGGCCTCCAAGTCCGCCCGAGATGGTCCAAGACGGCCTCCAAAACGGCCCAAGAGAGTCCAAGACGGCCCAAGACGGCCCAAGAGGCCCCCCAGAGGCCTCCCAGACGGCCCAAGAGGCCTCCAAGAGGTCCTCCAGGAGAGTCCGAAGAGGCCAAAATCATTGATTTTCCCTTGGTTTTTGAAGGATTTTGGCATTTGCGCCTTTTCGGCTCTCCGACGGCTCAAGACGGCCCAAGAAGCCCCCAAGATCGCCCAAGAGGCCCCCAAGAGAGCCCCATGATGGCCCAAGTGGCCTCCAAGATGGCCCCTAGAGGGCCCCAAGAGGGCCCAAGAGGCCTCCAACACGCCCAAGATGGCCTCCAAGACGCCCAAGATGGCCTCCAAGACGGCCCTGGAGCATTCCAAGCGGGCCCCAAGTCGGCCCATAGAGGCCCCCCAAACGGCTTCCGACGGCTTCAGACGTGCCAGGAACCCACCAAGATGGCCGAAGTTGGCTCGAAGCTGGCCCGAGACGGCCCAAAAAGCCCCAAAGATCGCCCAAAGCTTGCCCAAGAGGCCTCCAAGACGGCCAAGATGACCTTCAAGATGCCCACGTGTTCCCCGAAGGCTTTCCAATACCGATTCGGGGAACACGTGGTCCGATAGCTTGGCAGGTCTGGCCTCAACGTTCGGCCACATAGGCGCTTCCAAAAAGGCAGGGGGCGGCGGTGATTCGCCGTAGGCGTCTTCGATAATCATGCCTCTGGTGTTTCGACAAACGCCCGCCGTCTGTGAACGTTGGTTTTCGCCTGCGCCTGTTTCCCCATGCACTCACGGCGAATAGTGACAATGTCAGCCGCGGAAAATACAATGATCCAAGAAACATCCCCCAGGACTCTGTCACTGCCCCCGCCTCAGCCCACCGGAAGAATTCCACAGACGCCCCACGAAGCATCCCTGAGACTCTGGCCCGAAACCATGCCAGGATGGATCGAAGGCCATGAAAGATGTCACGGTCCGCGAGCCCGCCCAGGGTCTCCAGATCCAGGGTGAAAGAACATATTCCAGGGGTGTGGGAATCGCCCCAAGCGGTCGCCAGAGGCCTGGGAAAAGGCCCCCGAACCAGATCCTGGTCTTTCCTCCCCCATCGTGATCTTCATCTTCCTCCCCCTCCTCCTCCACCTCCTCCACCTCCACGCCTCCCCGACGCCCCGAGCATTCGCGCGCTGCCACGAACGCTTCAGCGGGTCTCAAGCGCACGACTTGCACTTCAGGGCGCCGTTCTGGTGGGGACGCGCGGGATTCGGTCCAACGATGATTTGACATTTCGGGAGCTTTCTCTTGCAAGTGCCGATGCACTCGTACGCTTGCCACCTTCGCGCTGTGAGCCCGAGGGCTTTGCAATCCAAGCGTTGAACTCTGCTGTTCCTCGAAAACTGATGACTCACCAAACTGTCGCTTATGCGGCCATGCCGCGGGAACTCCTTCTCGCGCGCAACGCGCGTCAACTGTCGCTTCGACCGTTTTGCCGCGTCGGCCACTCCCTTCGCGGTTGCGGTCCGCTTGTGGCACTCTCCGCAAACCACTATGGTGCATCTCTTTCTCCGATTCTCCTCCACGTGCCCCGGCTTCGCATGCGTCGCGTCCCTGGGGTTTTCTCGCAACCGAGCGCGCGGCAAATCAGCGGCTTTGCTCCCTTGTTTTTCGGTTGCGATTCATTGTCTCGCGCGTGGCCGCGCCGCGCCCTGCGGTGAATT